ATCGAATGATGTTTAACACTTTATTTCAAATGACTAATTATTAAATAAATATAAAAATATTTAATTATAGTTAAAAAATATGCAAACACTCTCAAATAAATTGAAAGATATAGTATATTAAACATTTAAAAAGCAAGATATATTATTATCACTATAGAAGACAAATTTAAATTTGAAAGAAATTTGTTTGAACTTGATCTGTATTTTTACTGAAATGACAATATGGTAAGTTATCTTTTCATTAAAAAAGTATGTTTTTTTCATGCTTAGGTAAATGGTTTGAAATTTGTTTTTGTGAATGCTATATGTTTTTCAAATCCAGATCTGCTATTGATATTGATTTAAGATGAACCAGAAAAATATTAAACTCATTTTAGTCAACTTATACTAAAAGGGATAGAAGACGACAAATTGAAGAACTTTACAAGAAAGTTCATGCTTGCATGGAGGCATTAAATCTCCCATATAAGAACAAATGCAAATGAAAACTGTCTTATAAGAAGTAAGATATTTCTGACAGTCTCATTAGAAGTAAGATATTTCTGAGATTTATGTGTATGATGAGTATATTGTGTATATTATATTATTATGTAAATAAAATATATAAGAAGTTGGTAATTTACTTTTTTTTTTGTGTATAAATAAATATGGTTGTACCTGCTTGCTATACTGTGATTTAGATGCTAACATAAAACATTTATTTAATTTATTTTGTGTATAAGAGCATAATTATCGGTACATGTATGCAGTTTCTATACAATTTTTTAAGTTATGATGTCAGAATAAAATGGATATTTGAGAGAAAAAAACGTTCTTTTATTTGCAAGTATTGATTTATGTGGGAACGCTTCTACACTCTCTTTCTATATAACTAATATTAAAATATTACATTTCAGTTGAAAATAATTATATGAGTGGATTTTGTAGAGTGTAGTGGGATCTATTTTAGATTTTTTGATGAGTTAGATGAATATTTGAGAATTGTAGATGAGTTGTTTAAAAAATTAAAAAATGTGAAATAATATAAAAAATTATGTGGGTCCCATTTAAAGAATGCAAATGAATATGATGGATGTGAATGCTCTAAATAAATTAGAGTATTTTGTATGTTCAAGTATACTCCATATTTTGATTATACTAGAGGAAAATGTATAGAAGTGCAAAAGGCTGGTAGGTAATAAATCCTCAACAAAGAAAGCAAAAAGTCTATTGAAATGCGGACAATAGGATTTGGGTTTCTACATTGTTTCTAATGTGCAAGCATGTGTTTTTATATTCAATCAATTATTCAAATAAGAGATTGAATATTTAACTGGCATAGGACAACATGGAACTAGGTTTATTTTGTAGAGATATAGATTGTTATAGACAGGCATATAAAGTGATTTGTTGTGATTTAGAAGAAGTTTCCCTGGCCTAAAATTTTGAAGGTTTTATTATTATTAGGAAATAAACTTCATATCAGATTATTTCAATAGTGAAATTGAAAAGGATTTGGGTTGTCTGGTCCTACAAATATAGAAGGCTGATTTCAAACAATTGACATTATTTTTTTTAATTGATTTTATTTTCATTTAGCTTTCCTAATTCAAGTAACTCTGTTGATATCAAGGGTTAGAATTTGGACTCGCATTCTTGTCATTTGTTGTTTTAATATTATATGGTAATTAGGTATTGGTTTATGTACCTGCATCGTTTTGTTTGTAATATAATATTTGATGTTTTAATATCAGTAGCATTCCAATAAGATTTAAAATTGTAGAATTAATCATTAGTCATTGATTGAATTTTAGAGATGAAATTATTTAATGGAGAAAAATAACACCCCAATTCGCAAAGAAAACTTAAAAGGATTATTCTTGTGAATAATATTCATGCGAATATTATTACTGAGAATTTTCTATAGATATTTAAAAAATAGAGTTAAATAAGCTTATGCCTACTAGGTGAAAAACCTTTCCTTAATCAGTCGTGAGAATATTATGTCTTTCTTTTTAAAAATAATAGATATTTTGATAAAATAATTTTGTTTCTTTTTATTTACTGTGTACCACTCAAATATATGTGCGAACGCACAGATAACACACTAGTATTGTGTGAACATACGGTTAATTATACTAGAGAATTCGTGTGAATTCATTGGTTATTACAGTATTTTTTTGTACAATTACAAAAAATAAAAATAAATATATTTCAAACAATGTATGAATCCAAACATGAGAAAAATATATTATTTTTAAATTATTTATGTTGTTAATATTTTTATTTTAAAATTATTTTTAATTTAAGATACAATATTTTTAAAATAACATATAAAAAAATGAAATATATATTATTGATGAAAAATAATTTTATTAAAATAATTTTATTTTTCTTTTAAAAACATGTTTTTCTTTTAAAAACATGTTTTTATTTTAAAAATAATTGACTTTTTTGGTAAAACAATTTTATTTTATTTTATTTACATTTTTATTATATTATCAAAACAAAAACATGTTTATCACATTAGTATCTGTGTGAATGTAGGGGTAATATATCAGTACTGTGCATGTAAATACATATGTAATCATATCAAAATTCATGCGAACGTACGTGCTATTATATTTTTTGTACAATTAACGAAAATAAAAATAATATATTAATCCAAACACGATAAAAATATTTTATTTTTTAAAATTATTTATGCATCTAATATTTTTATTTTGAAATTATTTTTAACGTAAAAACTATTTTACATAATATATTGAAAATTAAAATATATATTATTGATTTAAAACTATTTTGGTAAAACAATTTTGTTTATTTTTTTAAATATATCTTTCTTTTAAAAATAACAAATTATTTTGCTAAAATAATTTTTTTTTATTTACATTTTGAAAACAAAAGCGTGCGTATCACACGTGCATCTGTTTGCACCCGTGCGAACCCACTGATACTGATATAATACAGGCATATGATACAGATATTAAACTATTAATTTAATTATTGAATAATAACGATAACAAATTTACTATCGATTTAATTATTTTTATAAATAATTGCAGAACAAAAATGTTTTTATATATAATTAATTATTATGTTGATTCAAATATTTTTATATACGAAAGAAAATATAAAAACTAATTTATTACCTCTTTTAAAAATAATAAATTATTTTGATTAGATAATTTTATCTTTTTTACATTTCATTTTTTTTATTTATATTTAATTAAATTTTGAAAACAAAAATATGTATAACGTATCAATATCCGTGCGAACGCACGGAGTATATTATTAATTTATAATAAATGATGTGTAAATTTTGTAATTATTTAGCATTACCATGCACATGTTAGTATTAATCTTATTTTAATGATAAAATGATATATTTTAATAGTTTCACAAGCAAGTTGACGGGAGACTCCAAGAGTTCGGTGAAAAATAAAGCTAAGGTTGAAGGTTTAATATACATCGACTACTTGCACCAAGAAACTAATTTTTCTGCTCTCACTATTTAAAGACTTTTAGTCTGTTTCCAACAATAAATTTAAGGAACGTTGATCAGCTTATGAAAATGTCCAATTTTAGTAAATAGTGTCGTCTTAGTAGAAAACCTCAAGACTTATTAGCTGCTTGATAAGGAAAGAAAATATTTTTTTTCATTGAAAGTATTTGTCTAATATATTCCTTTTAATTTTATTTTTGATATAAGTATTTGAGTCCAATTTTTTTTTTTAATTCTACTCATTTTAATTTTAATTGTTAAAAAAAGTTATAAAAACGTTTATTTCCATATCTTTTAGAAATAAATTAGAAGTTTGGTAAGATCAAAAAACGTATTATGATAATTTTAGTTTAGTGTTGTACTCCATTTTTTATATTTTTTTCGGAATTTTTTATCAAACTTAGTAGCATAGGTCAAAGCTGTGGCTTTTTAAATTAAAAGGACTCTTAAGTTCTCCTTTATAAGTTAAAATTTTAAGGTTTTATTTGCGAGTTTAGAATCGAGGTAGAGATAAGACTTTTGAAAACAAATTTTTTTAAAAATATAAGAAAATATTTGATATTTTAAAAAAAAATGATTTTGTATAGAATTATAAAATAGTATTTATTTTTATTGTATTTTTTATTTTTAAAATACTATAACAACATAAAAGATATTATATCCTATTACTATTATAAACAAAAAATGATTTTAAAATTTAGTTACTATTATAAACAAAAGTCATTAACATTTAAGACAAATTAATATTTGTGTTACTATTATATCTTTAATTTAATTTAAAAATATTTAAAATTGGTAGTTAATTCATCAAATATAACAAAAAATATTATAATAAATTTTATTTTGATTGTATTTGTAATCAAGAAAATTAATTACACTTAATTAATTTTCTTAATCCTTGTAAAAGTAATTTTTTTTAGAAATTTTATGTAATCCCTCTAAAATCTTTTTTTAATACAAATTTTGAGTTTCTCATATAAGGAATTTTTGATGTTATCAAGAAAAATAAATCTTTCAAAACCCTTCAAATCAAAATCTTTTCATTCTTTTCATCAATTTCTTTCAATTTTTCAAAGTCCTTTCTCTCTTCCCCTCCAAACTCCAAAACGAAACCTAATTAAAGGTATAGGGATCCTCTTCTTTTCAATTTCGAATGAAAAATGATCCTAACCGCAATTAAACTTCTCTAGCCACCTTATTAACAACTACTACTGCACTTAATAATTAGCAACCCTTTAGTTCCCTATCCTAATCAAATTATGATATTGTTACTCGAAAATGCAAAGGTCACTTCGAATAACCTCTTCATACATTCATTAACAACGTTTTCCGTTTCCAAGACAAATATTAATTACAACAATTACAATTAATAGAAAAAAAAGGTGAATTTGAAATCTCATTATGTACTCTTATACTAGTAGTATATGAATGCTCAAAACTTCTAACCAAGATACAGTCAAAATATAAGTCCAAACCTTTCAGCTACACTATAGTTATTACTGGAGTATCAATTACCATGGCAGCTACTACTAGTGCTACTACTCAAATAGAGGAGCACGTGTCCTTGAAGCTTGTGTTGAATGAAAAGGGTAACAAAGTCTTGTTTGCTGAAGCAGGAAAGGACTTTGTAGATATTCTTTGCGGCTTATTAACTATGCCTTTAGGAACTATTGCTAGACTTATAGCGAAAGAATCTAGCATAGGGCCAGTCACTCTTGGCTGTTTTAACTCACTCTATCAAAGTGTGGCTGATCTCAATGAGAGTTGTTTCTTTATGTTGGAACTGCAACATGTATCGTGATATGATGGGAGGCAACAAATACTTTGTTATATTTATAGATGATTTCAGTCGAAAGCTATTGACTTACCTGATCAAGAAGAAAAGTGAAGTGATCGAAGTATTTATCAAGTTTAAGTCTATGGTCGAAAGACAAAGTGGTCGAAAGCTCAAAGTTTTGAGAACTGATGGTGGTGAAGAATATGTGTCGAAAGACTTCGACAGATTATGTGAAAAGGAAGGGATTGTGCATGAGGTGGTGTCACCCTATATTCCACAACAAAATGGAATTGCAGAAAGGAAAAATCGAACCATCATGAATATGGTGAGAAGTATGTTGAAAGGCAAAAATTTACCTAAAGAGTTTTGGGGTGAAGCTGTTTCGACTGCAACATACATTTTGAACAGATGTCCTACAAAGAAACTAGAAGGAATTACTCCAGAAGAATGTTGGTCTGGTGTGAAGTCTAGCTTGAGTCATCTGAAGGTATTTGGATCTATTGCACATAGACATGTGCCAGATCAGTTGAGAAGAAAACTTGATGATAAGTCAAGTCAAATGATTCTAGTTGGATATCATTCGACAGGAGGCTACAAGTTGTTCGATCCAGTGAAAAAGCAGATTGTGATCAGCAGGGACGTGATCATAGATGAGTTTAAAGAATGGGATTGGACTGAAAATATCAAGAAAGATTCAGTGGGAATCCTTCTTGAAGAGCCAGAAACTCAAGTCGAAAGAGAAATTCGACAAGAGGAACCAGCAGATATACCAAGTACAAGCAGGCCTCAAAGAACAAGACGAATGCATGCAAGATTGCAAGATTGTGTGATTACATCAGATGATGTAATAGATAATGAAGGTGAGCTGGTACATTATGTTTTCTATGCAGATGTCGAACCCGTTAATGCAGCTGAAGCATTAAAGGATTTAAAGTGGGTGAAAGCAATGAACGAAGAAGTAAAGTCTATCGAAGACAATAACACTTGGTCGCTTGTCGAATTGCCTCAAGACAAGAAGGCAATTGATGGCAAGTGGGTATACAAAGTATAAACGAATTCGAAATGTGAAGTAATTCGACACAAAGCAAGACTTGTGGCGAAAGGATTTCTACAGAAAGAAGGAATAGACTTCGATGAAGTTTTTGCACCTGTTGCTAGGATCGAAACAATCAGGTTGGTTGTTGGTCTAGCAGAAATAAACAGTTGGCACATATGTCAGATGAACGTCAAGTGTGCATTCCTAAATGGACTCTTAGATGAAGAAGTCTATGTTAAACAACCAGTTGGATTTGTGAAACATGACGAAGAAAGAAAGGTGTACAAGCTACATAAAGCCCTGTATGGATTAAAACAAGCTCCAAGGGCTTGGAATAAGAAAATTGATAGTTTTCTAAGGGAGAAGGAGTTTGTGAAGTGCACAACTGAACATGGAGTATATATAAGAAGAAGCAAGAGTAAATTGCTTATACTATGTCTCTATGTAGATGATTTGTTGATAACAGGTAGCTGTAAAATTGAGATCGAAGACTTCAAAGGTGATCTCAGCAAGGAATTCGAAATATCTGATTTGGGTGAGATTTCATATTTCCTTGGTATCGAATTCTACAAGAGCAGTAGAGGTTTGATGATGCATCAAAGAAGATATGCAGGAGAAATTCTCAAGAGGTTTGAGATGGAAGAATGCAACTCAACTTCGACACCTGCAGAACCAAGACTGCAACTGTCGAAAGATGCAGATGAAGATGATGTTGATCCAACCCAATACAGAAGACTTATTGGATCATTGAGATACCTTTGTCATACAAGGCCTGACTTAGCATATAGTGTAGGTATGGTGAGTAGATTCATGCAGAAGCCAAAGGTATCACATCTAGCAGCAGTGAAGAGGATACTAAGGTATCTCAAAGAAACTTTCGATTATGGCATTTTGTTTCCTGCAGTTGATAAAGGAAAATAATGCAAGTTAGTGAGATACACTGATTCGAGTTGGTGTAGTGATGTTGAAGATCAAAAGTCATCAGCAGGATATGTATTTATGCTAGGTGGTGCATCAGTTGCTTGGAATTCAAGAAAGGAACCAGTAGTGGCATTATCATCATGCGAAGCAGAATACATAGCTACTTCTCTTTGTGCATGTCAAGCAACTTGGATGGTGAACTTGGTCGAAGAGATAACAAGGAAAAATCATGGAGCAATTACCATGAAGATAAACAGCATGTCAGCTATTAATCTGGCGAAGAACCCAATAGCACATGGTCGAAGTAAGCACATCGAAATGAGGTTCCATTATCTTCGAGAGCAGGTAGCAGATGGGAAGATGAATTTGGAACACTGCAGAACTGAGAATCAGATTGCAGACAGCATGATGAAGTATTCAGAAAGCTAAGAGCCATGATAAACATAGATAGTTTAGACACAATGAATTAGGTGGTGTGTTAAATTGTAATCCAATGTGTCGAAACTATGTGTCGAAAAGATTTGATTTGTTTTAGATTTAAATAGATTTGATTTAAGTCTATAATAAATTAGATTTGATTTAGTAACAAAAAGATATTTTGGGATTTGAGCTTAGGGTGTAAGCTTAGTTATAAATAGAGGGAGTAACCCATATTTTTGTAAGCAAGTCAAGCAAATCATTCACAGTATTTTGCAGTTGCAAAGTGAATAAGAAAGTTTTCACAGTTTGTGAGCAGAGAGAAACTCTGCAGAAATTATTTGTCTTATCTTTTTTTTTTGTGTGTCTCATAATTAAATTGTCATTGTGGTAAATATTCATCATAGATTTTGGTGGATTTCCAACATGATTGTCATACCTAATTGTATTCACTATTCAAGCTTTGGGCTGCTCCAGCAATTTGAAATAGAAAACACAAGTTCTATGAAGGAAATTATTCTGAATGTCACTAACCAAAAGGTTTTGTATTTTGATTTCTACTTTTTAATTGGTTACTTAGGTTTATTATTTTCAACGATAATTATTAGTATTGTTAGTAAGAATATTCTCTATATTTTTGTCTTATTTTGTCCATTCTTTTTTTAACTCTCTTTTATCACTCCCCAAGACAACGTTCTAGTTGCTTCTGTTTATAATACTCTACAAACAGTCTCTCAAAAGTTTACATTGATTCATTTTGCTTTTTATTGATTATAAATAATAGTTTACTCTTACTATTTTGTACAGGTACAAGATTTGCTAAAGTGTTCTTTGCACTCGAAGACTACTTTGACCGATTTGTTTTTACAGAAGAAACCATCCTTTCAAGTTTACAGGTTTTTCACACCTGATGTTGAAATGAGTGGCAGTCTCGAAATCATTTTGAAACTAGTTATAAGAAAATCAGATGGTAAGGTTTTGTGCGCTCAAGGGGAACACGATTTTGTGAATTTACTTTTAAGCTTTCTTACCTTTCCTTTGGGAGGAATTGCACGTACTTTCCAATTGTCTTTACTTTTATCTGTATTTCTCAACCTTTACCCAGTTTTACATCCAATCCAGACACTAAAACCATTTGAAACTTAACATTATGTTATAAGATTTTGTAGTGGATCATGCAAGTTAAATTTAATAAGAGGCTAGAGATTGTTTACTACAAACCTGTGTAAACAAATTGGCACACTCAGTGGGATCCGTTGTGTTAAGTTTATATATTTTCATAGTTTTTGTACGTTCTTCGTATAAAATTTTTCAACACGGAGTGGGCGTGAAATTGAGAAGTGGTAGGAAAATGGTAGATCCTAAAAACAATAATCCAAACAGGGAACAGCCCTCAAGGGAAACACAGTTTCTTCACATTCATCTAATACTGATGTATCCACGTTAAGCACTGTGGCTGTATCTTCGAATGCCCAAAGTAGATCGATAATCTCACAGAGTCAGCGTCTGACACCGAGATTGAATGGGGAAAGTGCTTATGGGCCGGATAGGAAGGTGTGAGGAAAACACAAGAAAGGGGGGTTTGAATTGAATTTTTCTTTCTTGTAAAACTTTCAATTCTAAGCATTATTCGTTGAACAATTCTTCTGATTGTTACTTCTAATTAATGCTTCTAATTTGATTAAGAAAACATAAACTTTACACATAAGCAAAAGTTAAGAACACGCGATATATCCTGATTCACTTGAGAAAACCCCAAGCTAATTCAGTCCACACTTCCGAAGTGATTTCACCTTGAACTCAAAGACTTAATCCACTATAATCAATATGATTATAATCGGACTGGCAACTTACATGTTACGCTATGAAAGATTATCAATCCTCACCATTTTTTTCCATAGACTTTCACCTTCAATCTTTTTAGATTTATCCTCTAAAATCTACAAAGCAAATTAAGAACTTAAATACATGAAGATAGTGATGTAGAAAGCATGTGGAAAAAAACTTAAGAAATTAGATATTCTTAAACAGTAAAGAATCTTTAAATAAATAATTGAAAAATGAGAAATTTGAAAATGCAGTAAATATTTGGGAAACACAAACAAAATGATAAAATGCTTAAAACAAAGGAAATGGCTTAATGCTTTCAAAGGAAAATGGTCCGTCAATAAAGAAAAACTGCATTATGCAGTTATGGAGATGTTTTTTAAGTTAGCCTCTATTTTCCTTCTAACTTCCAGGTGGTTTATAAACATGGAAGTTACTAATTGATGCCTTAAATTGAGTAAATTAACTGAAGGGTGATTATGGAATACAAAATAGGCCAGAACAAAATTGTGTATTCCCTTTATCTATCTTATAGATAAATGAGTTTAATGAGTAAAGTTAAAGAATGATATATTTGATATTGTAACTGGTAATAATCACTTTTGCTAATTAATGGAGATTAGAAAAGCCAAACCACCACAATTTTACTGCAAAACTCCTTTTCCTTCCCTCTCACAAAATTAATTCGTAACAGTATAGTATTTTTGTATGCCTCACTTTGTGTCAATGTCACTGTTGTGGTGTCTAAAGAAAAGAAAATTGCATGAAAAGTTATTTAGTATTATGGAATTGAAATGTTTACTGAAAAGAAAATTGACCCTAAGCAATTACTAATTCTAGCAACACGTGCATCAACAGAAGCAACAACTGAAACAACAATTTCTCATTCAATAAAAATTGAAATTACAAATAAACATGACCTAAATTGGTTGATTCGATGGCATAAGATTATTGAAGAACAAGAAAGGGGAAAACTAAAAACCTTGCAGAATGGGCAAGTGATTTTGAGGCCTTCGGCTCTGGCTTCAATCTGAGAGCCTTTGGATTTCTGATTATTTCAGTGTTACGCTTCTCCGCTTCAATTTTCTGCTTTCCCTGCGTCATCTTCAACACACAATCACACATTTGTTCAACTATATAATTAGGTTTACCTCATGCTCTCAAAGGCAACCTTCTGTAATCCCGCATTGGAATCCTGAACTCGAGTTTTTGTTTCAAAACCAAATCCTCATCTGACTGCAGGGATTACCACAAACAATCGAATTTTTTTACCTCAAAAGAGCTTAAAACACATGCGAAGGGTAAAATGTGTAATGGACTTCTTATGGTAATAACGCCTCTAACTATGAGAATATTATTATGGTAATAACAGCAAGACTTCTTGAAACGAACTGTGAGTTTCTTTCATTTTCAAAGGCAAGAAACAGAAAATAGTAATAAAACAGACATTCTTCGTTACATACTAGCCGTAACATATATCAGAAAATGATAATGCTAGAATTTAAATAAACATAAAACATTCAAAAGTTGAAATGATGTTGATTACAAAACTTCATCTAAAATGATCTTAATACACATAACAAATTGCAACAGAGTTTTCTATACTCTCCTCTTTAACTTAGGTTTTTTGTTGGACTCCTCCTTAACTTCCAGTTTTAATTTGTTTTTGGCATTCTCTTCTTTAACTTTTGGTAACAAGTGAGAAAGACCATTCGTCAGAGCAGATGTTGATATCAGCGATGCCTTCAATATGCTCAAACACTGCAAAGCAAAAAAGCAACATGAAAACCATCAATTCCTTACATTACATATCACTTACTAAGTCAATCTGGCATAAACACTTTAAGCAGCACAGCAGAAAATTACAATGTTGATAAATTGAATTGATTTTTTGCTCTTACCTCCTTGACACCAATAGTAACATTCAATTCTTTGAGATCATTGAAAGGAATTTGCAACTGGTTGATTAACTGTAAAGCTGAAATTGGAGACCACGGTGACAAAACCAAGTCATCCGTAGCCATGTACGCTCTTGGTCCCTTCACGTAACCTTCATAACTTCCTTTTGGTGACTCAGCTTGAAGACATTCATACTTACCCCAATCACTCCTAATTGAATCACTTATGAAATATTCATAATTTCTAACACTTTGTTCGTAGTTTTCACCTTGATAAAAACAATAATACTTAACTTGAGGACTGTAAATGGGTAATATCTCATTGCATGATTTAAACACTGGAGACAATCCTGAATTAACAAGTCCAATTTTTGTAAATATTGACATAAAATATATAATTCCATTCATATTACCTATGCTCTTGTACAAAGAATCAATGTTTCCTGCAGAACAGTTACCTCCCAATACACGAACAACTCCTCCCAAAGGAAATGAAAGAAAACTCAAAAGTAAGTCAGCAAAATATTTTTCCCCTAGAGCATACAATATCTTCCCACTAGCTTTTCTTATTACTAACTTCACATTGATTCGAATATTACATTTTTTTTCCGGATCACAAGAGAAAATTTTGCAACTTTCCAAGGATAGTTTCTTTCTCAAAAACAAATCTGTCAAAGTAGTCTTGGAAAGCAAAGAACACTTTAGCATATCTAGGACCTGCATGGAATGAACTTACTAAATAAAAGTAATAAGAAGATGAAAAAGCAAAAGAGCAATTATTAAGGAAAAGGAAGTGGAAATGCATATAACCATGTCTTTAGTGACAGTCACTGTCCATTCCTTTACTGAACTCGCACCATTTGTTCCTAAATTTTGAAGCAAGCCAAGGCTCGTAAACTGAACAGAGTTTGGCATGACAACTAAATTGTCAGTAATAACAAAACTAGTACCATCTTTAACAAATCCATTGCTGGAATATTTAAGAGAAACTGGACACGTATAGTTACTCGCACATTCACATTTCTTATTTGGGGAAATGTTCAAGTAGCGAGGGGAGGAACACCCATTAAACTTGGTACATAAGAAGTACTCAGTGGCTTTGGTGTCATCAATGTTCAATTTAAGAGTGCGGCAAAGACTTTCTGATGAGTTTTTTGGTTGCAATAACATTTCTTTGGTTGTCCCCATTATTAAATACTCTTTGTCGAACTCTCTCAAACTTCCATAGAGTTTGTTCAAACATCCAACAGAAACTGGTCCCATGCTAGACTTCTTCTCTACAAGCCTTGCAATAGTTCCCAAGGGTAATGTTAAGAAGCTAAACAGTGCATCCACAAAGTCCTTTCCTGCCTCAGCAAACAAGACCATGTTGGTGTCTTTGTTCACCAGAAGTTTCAAAGTCACTCCACTCTCTGTTGCAGTAGCCATAGTTGCAACTAGCTAGCGTGAAAAAGAGAAAAATATTTGAACGATGATATGTTTGGAATTTGAACAATGAATAGGTAGCTTCTGGTCATTCGTATTTATAAGGGTGCAATTCATGGCTTTTTATTTTCTCTTTTTAAAGCACGGGTAACTTGGATAAGATAAATCATTTATGGCTATATAAATGTCAAATTCTTGAACTCAATAGTTTTTAGATTGTGCGGATAAATAGAAGACGTGTAGTAAAGAAGGCTAGAAGTTATTGTAACTCTTTTTTTCATAGCAATGCATAAAAAACCAAAGAAGGTTAAACGAATACACTTGTATTTGTGAGTAAGAAGGTCGAGAGAATTTCATTTATGGCTTGCCTCGTAAATGGTTTTTCCAAGTGGGTTTTATTTGATTTTTAAGTGAGATTAAAAGATTTTTTTTATTTAAATACATACAATATTAAATCTATTATAATCTATTATCTATTATCTATTATAAATATAAAAATAAAAATATCTGATAATTACACTTTAATCCTTTTTATTGAAAGTTTAATTAAATCTAATATCAAGGATAAATCAGATTTATTACACACTACTTATTTTATATTGATTTGGTATTTAATGATGCTTACGTGGCACACCCAAAATTTTTAATTGCATTTTTATATTATTTAATCAAAACTACAGTTTTATCATATTAATGTTGAGATGAAACGTTGAATCCTGAATCATTATATATACTTTTTGAAACAACACAAAACAAAATGTAATACGGTGGAAGAACCGACTTTACTGGTTTTGCATTTTATCACAAACGTCGTGGTTAGCAAGAGTCACCACTGACTTTTCTTTTATCCAACAAAGGAAATGGAGAAAAGAACAGAAAAAATCTTTCGAGATTATTTTCTGAGTAAGGAGGATAGGTTATGAAAAGGGAAAGTGTTAGCACTATTTTCACTCGTAGTTATCTACGGACTCTTAGTTGATAGCTCACTTTTGAAAA